AAGACACCATGTTATCATTGACCTCACCGGCCCCGTGCTCCTGACCATCCTCATCTACAAATAGATCGCTGTCAAACATAGGAAAGTCTTCAGCAAATGTCTCACAATCCTCCAAGTGCTGTGGTTCATTGACATGCAGGTAAGGCAGAAACGTGTCTAGGGGACATTCTGAAATCCTGCTGAGGCCTTTCTCTGTTCCGTAGTCAGTGTGGATACTTACAACTGAGTCGCACAAGTCTACCAAAGCCCTGCGGGAGCAACACAAAAGGCCCAGTGTGTGTAGAAACACCCGGGTCTTTGCAGGAAGGTTTGCGCGGCTGCGGGCCAGCATAATGATGGGGGCCACATGCCAAACAATGCGGGCTGATACCCTTTCCAAACACGCCTCCTCAGCATCCAAAGATGCGGGCTGCAGCCGGTCCTCCATATCCAGCTGGACAAGATTGTCCAACTCAATGATGTCCTGCACGCAGCCAGGTGACAACATGTCAATTCATTCAAGCTTTGGGTATCCGAATCCGCTTGCGGGTGTTGGTTGCAAATCTGCATTCCCTTCAAATATCTTCAAATGATGCATGCAATGCTGCTAGTTCGGGCGATGAAGTTATCACCTAGTGGTCACCAACAGGTTGACGTTGAATTTTGGTTTGATTGAGCATTAACTTCAATGGGTTCCCCCTACCAAACATTTCAATTTCAATGTGAGTCTTCAGTCTTATTCTTATCTTCCTTCCATCTCCTGCTGCCTTAGAGGTGGCCAGGCACCCATGACACAGTTGAAGCGGCTGCTTTTTTCAGATGCGTCAGTGCTGCGGGGCAGCGGCAGCATGTCTTCTTCTAATTTCATCTGTGCCACGATGCCTTGCCAAGCTGCCAATTTCAAATTTCAAAGTTCAAAGGCATGTGAAACTCTGCATGAGGATCTGAGTCTGAGCATTTTGCAAAATCACTGCCTGGGCTCTGGGGGCCGCTGCGGCTGCTGTTGCAAGAGCCCAGCGACGCCCAGCAGCAATGCACTGAGAGGTTGGATGACTCCACCTGGCGGCACAACAGGCTGCGGCATAGCTGATAGCGTGGCCGGCAAAGGGTCTGCTGGAGCTGGCGGCGTTGGAGGTGGTGCCGCCGCCGCCAAATTCTTCTTCTTTTCATCTGAACCTTCGCCACCATTGCCACCTTTGCTGCTACTGCCATGATGGCTTTTGCGATGTTGATGCCGAGATTGAGATCGCTCCCTTTCACCCTTTGATACCTTTGAGTGAGAAGATCGCTGCGATCGATTGTTTTCTGCAAGCCTCACAGGAGTCACAGGAGCTCTTGACCTTGCGGAAGCGCTGGATTTGTCCCTTGCAATCAATGGCGTCCTTGATGTCCGAATAGTAGTCTGAGTCCGACTCCTGGAGATCGGTGTCCTGCTTCTGTCCCTTTTGTCCCTTTTCTCCGGGGAAGCTGGCCGTGGATTTCCCCGACAATACCAGGCATGTTGCTCCATGCTCCACTCATTGTTGGCAATGTATTTGCCGCACCAGCGGCATGGAGCTCGGACAGCGCTCTCGCCTCTGTAAGATGCGCACCGCACCGAGGCCTTCAAATGCGCCCTTACAGCAGCGTCGCCGTTCCGCAACCACTTGCTGCAGACTTGGCATCTCACACCTTCAGCTTTGCCGCCAGTGCCACCAGCATCCTTCTGTTCCTCGGCCCCAGCATCAGGTCGCGTTGGTTGTCCTCGAGGCTGAGGTGGTACTGGTGGTGGCGGCGGCAATGGCATTGCTTCTTTTGGATTTGCTTCTTTTGGATGCTCCTCCGCCTGTTCTTCTTTGCCAGCGTCGCCTTTGTCATCAGCAGCATCAATTTTGTCAGGCAAAGCTTCTTTTTCATCCTCAGATGGAGAACAGGAGTAGTAAGACCCTGACGGATCTGTAGGCTTGCCCGGTGTTTTGGCATTTGCTGACTTCTTTTGCTCAGCTGTCTCCTCCTCATGCTTCTGCGCCGCTCGTCTCTTCTCCTCCCGGCGCTCATTCTCAGACTCGCTCTCAAGCTCCACGTCGTGACGCGAATAGTCGCGACACGCCATCTTGATGTCCCGCATGGCTGGCTTGTGGATGAAGATGGGTCCAAAAGTCCAAAGAGTGTACAGTGGGTGTACAGTGTACAGTGTAAATGATTAGAAATTAGAAACATTGGCATTGGCATATGTTAACAAACTGAACTGAACAGCCTGAAATTTGTAGTCGCTAGGATTTAATGTGACAGCTGACATGGACCCTCACTCGAACCAGCAAATCGACGTCGAATTCACATCAATGCAAACGTTGCACATCAATGCACAGGCACAGACTTGTTTTAGTGACTATATTTAACTATATTTGTCACTTGAATGGGCACGAATCGAAATGGGCACGACAAAAGGTTCCGAATTCCCTGGAGCAAAGAAAGAAAAACGGTCCTTGTGCAACAGCGGCAAGTCCATGGTATCAATGAAGTTGAGCACCGTTACTTGATACTCCTGCTTCGCCTGCCACGTTGCGTCAGTCTGGACAAACACCCTCAAACCAGCACCTCCACCCACACGCAACCTTTCCATGACCCAACGTCTCATGAGAAGTGTCCAAGCTACATCCAACCTGCCCCTGATCCTGGACACAGTGGATGTACTAGGCACCCTCATTTTGTCACATCCATCACTGTCACCATCTATGAATGCGAGTGCCTCTTTTGCAACAGGCGCGGGCAGAGAAACTTCACACACATGTTTGAGCATATCCCTCAAGTCTTTGTCGTTCCGCAAGGATCCAGCCACCCAAAAGAACTTGAGTAGTTTGAGTGGTGCATACTTACGAACTTTCAAAAGAAAACCATTCTGCCGTCTGAAGCTCTCATCTGAAAACCGGTTAGCCTGCAAAGCCCGAGCAGCTGACAGCAGACCGGTCAACAACTCTTCCTTAGCTTCCTGTGTGGGCGGCCGGCCGCGTGTGAACAACATCCCATGCACTGTTTGGAGAAGACGGAGCATGTGTTCCTTGCCCTTACTAGATGCTACGTTGTAGAGCGATGGATCCACGTGGCCACCCTCACAAGAAGCAACAATTTCAAATGAAGGGAGAAAAGCAAAGGAATCCCGGAGTGTTTTCAAAGTCCCGGAAGCATCTGCCTCCAAAATATGCTTCACATGCCACCCTGCAACCAAACGCATATTTGTTAACGTTTCTGGAACTGCCAACTTGGTCCACATCTGGTTGGCAAGCAGAAAGGCAATTGATTTAGGCACCTTGAGTGACAAAAGTGGAACCTTTCCTTCTGCCAGACCTCGCCAAACTTGAAATGTAGCATCATCAACCCCAAGGACGCTTGCGGTAAAGCAACGCTGGGCCCAAACTTTGTCCATGCAAAAGAAGCACGAATGCCTACCGGATTTTGTTTCTGCATCCAGAAGTGAAACATGGTGCAAAATTGGCTGGGCTTTCAAAACCTGAAAATAAGAAAGTCCTTGGTCCAACAAACCACCGTCACCGATGTGGTTCCATAAGTCAAATTGGGCTTTCATCTCTCTGCAAAGAGGAAGGAGGGCATGGTGCTGAGCACAAGGCTGCAAATACACCAAGGCCACCATTTCATTCCCGGAAACAAACCTGTCGATGATAGCTCCTGCTTCCAACCCTTGCTCCTCCTCGTATGAGCGCAAACAGGACTGCACATACGGGTCACCATCAGCTTCAGCATTGATCCATGTGTGCTGAACACGGTGTCCACCAGCCACCCGTTTTCCATCACCGAAAGAAGCGAGCCAGACCACTTGAGGACAAGTGGCCCTGTCGGCCATGGCCCCCAGGAAACCGTCAGCAAACAATTATAAATAGATGTCGTTGTTTGATGTTTCTTCCTGAACTCTCTAGCTCACCACCTGTGTGGCATTCTCGACACTAGTAGACCAATAGCCCAAGTTTGTTTATGTATTGCACTTTGAAAGCTGCCTGTTGACCAATGGAATTGGACCGATGTCCTGTTCCTTTGAAATGAAGATTGTCAATCTTATTTCATAGTAGTGAATTGGAAACTTCAGCGGGACTCAGCACTGAAACGGGCAAGTGAGCCGGGTTTTCTTCCTGGTTGTTTGTTGGCAACTATCGTTTGCAAACACCTTAAGTAGGCAAATGTTCTATTGGAATTCGAACCCGAAACGCTGCATGAGTATTTTTTTTGCATAGCCAGCATGGAACCCACCACTAGTACTGTAAAACACACTTCTGTTCACACCGCTCAGCGACATCTAGCCTACGTACAAAAGAACCTTGCAAACATCCAGCACAGTTTCGCGTGGGCAAGCCAAGGTGCAGAAAACACAGCAAACAATATATTTTTTTCTGTATTGCAATGATTCCAAAATGTTTATTAGAAAAACAACCTTTTGACACACCACACAGAACACCAAGAGAATTAGCGAAAGTTACTAATAACAACTAGTAGTAAAGAAGGCTACTAGGACCTTTTCGCGCCATCTCAAGGACTGTAACATCCACCTAAGCCAAACGTGTTGGTGGAATGGGAGAGAGATGTGACACTCATTTCCAGTTTTAGCAAAACTCCTTTTGGGTGCTTAAAACTCCTAGCCCTGGCAGTGTAGGCTAATTACGAATGTCACACTCTTGACACCGAATGAACGACCAGAACGAAGAATGCGTCTTTTCTCCTTTACTGCCATTCTATTTACAAAGTCCTTTAAAATAAATAAATCCCCAGAAGAATGCCTAATGAGCGACTGCCGCTTTCTTTCTTGGCGCACAACCATGTTGCCATCGCTTTTAGGTTGGAGGCCAGCGCTGTTCGGTTCGAGGCCACCGCCAGTAGGTACTTTCGTCCGACTTTTGCCCTTCTGACCCGTTTTGAGCCAAGCCCCTAGTAGCGTCCTTGCTCCTAGTAGTATGGCCAGGAGCCCTGGTAGCTTCTTGTTCCTAGTAGCGATGCCAGGAGCCCCTAGTAGCATCCTTGAGCCCAAAACCGCCGGCCTTCACGGTGGAAGTGTGCGCATCAACGGAAGGCTGCATCTGCATGACCGCCTCGAGCAAGAATTGCTTCTAGTGACCAGGTCTGCACCCAAACAGTATGACTTTTGTTCCTATTAAAGCAAGCATATCTTCTTGAAGGCTCTAAGGGAAGTAGCGGTATATCCTGAGTCTGTGGCCATTTGCAAGAGCTGCGGGCACCAAGAATCCAACGTGGAAACACTGGTGTATAAACTGGAGATCCTGGCCAGCACGGGTAAGCACGGAAGATCTACAATTGTAAGCATGTAATTAGTTGATTTGAGTTACAATTGAGGTTGGAAGCCATCGCTTCTAGGTTGAGTTACAATTGTCAGCATTCACATCCTCATTTTGAGTCGCAGCTTGGGACCCTCGTCTCAAACTGACTGTCTGCTTCTCTGGCAGTTCCGCCCCGCCTGCTGTCCACTGCTTCTGGAACCTCATTAGACAGCAGAAGGAGGAAGTGGGCTCTGCCCAATGCCTGGTGCGAATCGGGATACGCATGAAATACCACTGCAACTATTGTAAAACCTCTATGGGGAGAAGACACACCTTGATCCAGCAATGTTCAATTCACTTTTTGTACTGCCCTTCTCGCACGCTGCTTCTCGGCCTCAGCCCAAAAGACCTCCAAAGTAGCTGGGCTCTCTCCATCCTCGTCCTGCAGAGAATCACAACGGTTTGGCGTTTATCAAAGACCGAATTGAACACATGTGACAAAAAACAACATTGAAACAACATCTTTTCAATTGCTTTTAAACAACACATTGATCTGTTGCTTTCCTCCCATACCGATCACTAGTCCACCAGTGACCAGCCTCCAGTGCCAGGTGGGCTAACAGCCGACCTTCAATCGGCATGGCGGCTACAGCGTCCTTGCACTCTTTCACCTCTCAAGGACACGCCGAGTTCAGAAAGAAAACACGAGTTTCTTTCCATCGTCGGCGCTTGGACATTGCTTTTAGGAGCAAGGACACTACTAGGAGCAAAGGGCATTGCTAGTTGGCTGGGTGAAGGGTCTGAAGTGCTACGCTCCGCTGAAGTGGAAAGAAAACACGCGTTTGCTCATGTGGAACGAGTTCGCTGAAAGTCGTGCTACGCTCCGTGCTTCCTCCCATGGTCGGTTGGTGGAGGCCATCACTACTAGGGTAGAGGCCATTGCTTTTAGGAACAAGAAGCTACTAGGGGCTCCTGGCATCGCAACTAGGAGCGATCGGACGCTACTAGGGTGGAGGCCCCACCCCCCATGCATCTCTCCCCCCCGCGCACGCGCGCGCGTGCGCGAAAAGGTCCTAGTAGATTTCTTATTTCTTAATTATTGTTTCTATTAGTGAGGCCCTTTGCTCCTAGTAGCGAGGCACTTGTTCCTAGTAGCTACTAGGGGCTCCTGGCCATCGCTTCTAGGTTGGCTGGGTGAAGGGTCTGAAGCGCTCGGTGCAAAATGATGCTTTGCCCACCTCCCGCTCGGAGTACCAGCTTGAAGGCGGCCCCTCCTCAGCAACACATGGCCCCGTTGTGCGCATAGTCCATGCTGAAAGAAATTGGCTGAAGCAAATCCTGCTTCAGTATCAGGCCGAAACAAGTCTAAGCTTCAGTATCTTTTGCTAAACCTCCACTTCTTGCTTCATATGATTCTCTTGTCATTGTCTGGTTCGTATGCTTGGCATCCATGTCTGCGAATATGTGGAAGTTGTGTCTGGACATCCCGAAAAGGGCCGAAGTTGCTTGGCCTCTCTGATCTTCTTTGACTTTATAGAAGAAAAGAAGAGTCTTTACAACGAGGACGGAATCTGAAGATGGCCACAAAGCCCTTCCATCTCATATCGAATCCTTTTTGCCGAACCTCCGAGAAGGCTTCATGGAGGACCGCAAGGTTTTCCTCGGCCACAGACGGGCGACAAAGTTTCTCCCGTGCCTTTGCCACTTCACCACCCTACGTCAGCCACAGGAAGAAAGCTGTGTTTCTTGCACAAAGAAACTATATCAGTCTCGCTGTGGCACACATATAATACACAAACACATTTTTGAGTAATCAAGGTGGTTGGAGTGCACCAAACGAGTTTGGCCGTAGAACATATCTGTCTGCCAGTGCTTCTTTCAACATTTCCTGTGCAACGACATAAGTATAAGTGAGTAGTTAGAGGCCATCGCTATTAGGTTGGAGAAAGAATACGAGAACAACGCACTCTTGATTATTGCTGCAAGACAGGATCTCCAGTGGCACCTAGTTGGAGGCCATTGCTTCTATGTTGGAGAAAGAATGAGAAAGAATACGAGACGAACAAAGCAAACATACTCGTCAAGAACAAAGTGCAATTCCAAATCATTAGTGCGAGTGCTTCTTCAAGGAAGCTACCCCCTGCCCCTACCTATCCTGTACCTAATAGTAGCTTGCTAGTCCCTTACCTAATTAAGTAGGCACCTACAAGAAGCTACTAGGGGCTCCTGGCCTTACTAGTAGTGACAAGAACGCTATTAGTAACAAGTGCCACGCTACTAGTAACAAGTGCCTTACTAGTAGTAACAAGGTTCGCTACTAGGAACAAGTAGGCGCCAGGGGGGGAGCGGGCTAGCCCGGCCTGCTGGTTCAGCACCTCCGGTGGTAAACAAAGCACCACCCCGGCCGAAAGCTCCGTCACCGCTGCCAAGAGCCTCTCCTGGCAGGAGAAAGGGAGTGGAGGAGCCGGAGGTGTTTACAAGAGAAACAAATCAAATTGAAGGAAGCTAAATTGAAGAACTGGACACTTGTTTGTTAAGAAGTTCTGGTGGACATGATTCCAACAAAATACATAACATGTTGTGGCCAAACAGATTCGCTAACTTTGCAGCAGCAAGCCGTCAGCTCTTCAATACAACAAGCTTAAGTTGGAGCCCGACAGCAAGTCACTTCACGAACCAAGGGTCTTTACCAGTTTGTGACTACAGGTCTTAGGAGTCTTAGGTCTGCGCCGTAAACCAGGTCCGTACGAGTAGGTGTAAGGTAAGGGTCTTCGATCTGCTTCTTTAGTCCTTATTTCTTTCTTTTGGATCGTTCCGTAGTCCTTTCTTTACTAAATATCTTTTCTGTTCTTTAGAGACCTTCCGTTCTTGCTTATGCTGTTTGATGGCTTAAAACAACAAATACAGTCTTTCTTCGGTCCTTCAGACCCACTTTCTTCTAGCACGCAAGTAGCTAGTAACAAGGTTCGCTATGAGGGGCTCCTGGCCTCACTAGTAGTAACAAGTGCCACGCTAGTAGTAACAGGTGCCACGCTACTAGTAACAAGAAGCAACAATTGCCTTCTTCTGTGGCCTGCCGGGCCTGGCCTTGATCCAGTCGCGGAAAGCATCCCCGCTGGGCACCGCCTCACCATCTGACAAGTGCCTCGGCTTCGAGCGTGCCGTACTGCTCAATCAGTGAGAGCTTACTGCTTGCGACCGTGTAGCAAAGAAAGCATTTCGGTAATACAGAAGCCAAACACATTTCGGTCGCAAGAAAGCTACTGGAGCAGCGAGTATGGGGTGGTGCCTTCTGTTCTCTAAGGCGAGCAAGCTGTAGTGCTACGTTTTCTTCCCATTCGACCTTCCACTGTGGACCACTCCTTTGGCTAAAACCAAAGCTCCATTGCTTTGCCACACATTAACCGCCATCACCCTCTGAGCTTCAGGCATAGGAGTTTGTATGGCACCTGCCCAAGGCACAAATGCAAGAACTCTTTGAACCCAAAGGGACACCGGTGGGGACACATCTATTGGTCCAACTATCCTCACTTCACATCCAGTCCCAGCCTGAGTCCGTGCCCTCAGAGGGTGGTCGCCCTGTTGGCATTTCGAAGCTCAGGCCAAAGAGGTGGGCGGTTCCTGGTCGCTAGTAGTAACAAGTGCATCGCTTCTAGTAACAAAAAGCCATTAGAAAC